TTGTAATTACATAATAATTTGGGGAATTTTTGTTTATTGTCTGTGTTCCTTACTAGACCCTAAGCTCCACGAAGGCAGGGAATTTTTCTTGTTTTTGCTGTTTTAATCATAGTGCTTATAACAATACATGGCACATAGTAGGCACTTACTATTGGTTGGATAAATGAATGAATGAAGGCATCTAAATTTTCCCAAAAGTTAGAAGAAAAAGCCCCCAAATAGTGTGATATTTCAAAATATTTGTATAATATTTTAGACTATATATCATAATACAATTGTTTATAATGATATTTTTATAATTCCCCCATGTCATTTAAGATATCCTTTGTCTTTGTAACAAATTTATTTCCTGAATATGTCACTTGCAGGCTAATGTCTAGAAGTAGCAATAGCAAAACTAAGCAGCCAAAGCAGGCATTGATGCCTATAAAGGGTAAATTTGTGCCTCTTCAGAAGGTTGTGTACAAGCAAACATACTTAGTATGACCCAGCTGTACATTCCTGGGAAAAGAATTTGAAGTCAGGATACAAAAAGGGATCACGGCCATTTGCTGTGAATTCCTACAGACACTTTCATCTGTGGGTAATGCATGAATGTATTTCATTTTTCTAAGGCACCTCCTCCAATGAAGCTGTGTCCAAGATTCACAAGCTCTTCCAAAATGCTACCTTCAGTGATGTAGTATCTCCCCTCTACAAAACAAAGCAATTTCTGCCCAATTATTTTGGAAATCAACAAATACACCAAAAATGGTTTTTCAATTTGCTAAACCAGAGTTACAAGAGCATGGATAAAATACTGATTACACAGAGGGGTACCCAGAGACAAGGTTAGACCTCAGTTGCCAGGTCCACTTATTACATTTTCTTGCAAAAATAGTGAAAAGGATACTTTTCTTATTGACTGCCACGTTCCTATGTGGCAAACCAAAATGTCTCATTATTATTTTAATGTATTTTTAAGGTATTCTCTGGATCAAAATCTGTTCTCCTGGGTTCTGTGGAGATGGCCTTAGGAGTTTTGGGCTTCTTCCACCCCAGTGCTCTTCAATCTCAAAAGCTCTAATTTTACCCTTAGAAAAATGTGTGTGTGTGTGTGTGTGTGTGTGTGTGTGTGTTTGTGTAACTTCATAACATGTAACAGATTCATTGCTGGAGAAAACTGGGAGGAGTAGTTACTGCTAAAAGAAGGTTGGAAAACACTACTCCAGTCTGGAACTAGTAGAAGTTAGTTCCAAGTGTTACCTGTTTATATATAGTCCCTTTGTAATTACAGAGATATTGTGTCCAGATTTCCCAGTGTCCAGGTCATTCTTTGGAATGTCTCCAGTGCCACTACCCTCTCATTTGACCTTCAGTCCTGCATTTCCAACTGCCTGTTGGATATAGTCCCTCAGTCTCCTCAGACTCAAATCATCAACCTCCGCCATAATGTCAGCCACATCTTCCATTTTCTTAGTCCTTGCCAGTGACCCCATTGTTCTCTCAGGTACCCGGCTTCAAACATGTGGACTAACATTTTTTACTCATCCTTCCTATCCAGTCAGCCACCAAGTTTGGCTTGATTTCTTTTCTTCTAAATCTTGCTCACTCACAACTTCTCTCTGCTTTCCCACTGCCCCCATTCAAATCCGATCAGAACATCTGATGCCTGGGATATCTTCCACAGCTTCCTAAGCAGCTTACTCGCTTTATTCTTTTCAAGTCTAACTCATCCTTCCAGACTAATTCTACTTAAATGCTCCCTTTCATCTTGGTACTTCCCTATACGCAACCTTATAAATGGTTTCCAGATCATTTTGAAACCAAGTCTGAACTATTCTGTTTTGCTTTCAAGGCTCTGCAAAATCATCTGGCTCTACTATCTTTTCAGGTTAGGTCAGTCTCCTCCCTGTCATATAAAAATACTCTTCCATCATCTGTCCCTTTATATGAATGTGTTAAATTGACCTGGCCTAAAAGGACCCATCCGTCTGTATATTTCTTCAATCTTTTCTCTCGTCTTTGCTCACTTGGTAACCCATGTCCTTCACATAGCCAAGTACTTGCAGTTCCTTGAAAACACTTGTCTTTAGACCTATGCACTGGCTTCCTTCTCCACCCTTGGTCTCTTCAAACTAAGGCACCTCCTTTGTGAATGCTTCCTTTCTCCAGCACTCGAGGCAAAATAATCACATCTTCCTTTGAGCCGCTGTTGTGTTCTGTACATACTTCTGTTATAGCCCTTATCATACAATGTCGCAATGTTTTGATTACATGCCTGCTTGATTGCTCTTTTAGATTGTGAGCTACCGTCTCAGAATAGTTTTAGACTTGGTTTCAAAAACGAGGTCTCTGACCTCCAGTATCTCACAGTTGTTTTGTATTCCCAGTGAGTCACTTTAGTAATTCAATAGGTATTTGTTGAATGAATGAATGAATGAATGAATGGGTAGATTTCTTCCTAAATCCTCTCACTCCTTCTCACCCTACATGTCTGAAGCCTTCTTTGATCTTTCTAGTCCTCCATCCCTTCTCTGAAGCCTGAGAGTTCTTATGGCTTTGTACTGTACAAATTTGGATAATTCCTTTAACTGAATCACAAGCTCCTTGAGGGCAGGGACATGTCTTATATTGTCTCTGTCATTGCAATAATCAAAGTGCAGAGCACATAGTAAAAATATATTTGCTGTCCAATTAATTTGAGTTATGTAAACTCTGGGCTTAGGACAATAATGACAGCTAATAGAAAATTCTAAACTTTTTGTAATATAATTGCTGCCATAAATTAAGTACCAATTCATTCAGAAAATATTTAGTGAATACCTAAGAATTTCCTGGTACCAAACCAGTGGTAGGTAAACAGGCATGAATTCTATCAGGAAAGAAATTCTTCCAGGTAAAATTAGTATTGCTACATAGAAGCTGTGTACATTTTTTCTCACCTTAAAATTTATAAATTTGTATTTGGTTGATTAAGTAGTTTTTGAGTGACCACTAGATTGCTTTGTGTTTTGGGGGAATGGGTATCTTATAATTCTTCCCGGTGAATTTTTCTCACAGGAACACTGAATTCTTTTTTGTATCTGAGATTGTCACAGTCAAGAAATGGGGAGAATCAGTCCTGAATGATCTGGTCGAGTTTTTGTGGGTTTTGGGGGTCCATTCTATGTTCGGAAATTAGTGGGTTGGACAAGACTAATCTAAGTAAGTTGTGTGTGTACTATAACTTGAGTACTCCCCAGCTTACCTAGACTGACCAGATGTCACTGAGTGATTTCCATCATGGTGTGGTGATGATATCTCACCAGCATTACCAACCAGACTCCTAGAGAGTGTCATCAGGCATGCTTAGAATAGAAGGGTAGATACTGCCCTGTGTCATAGTTTCAACCCTTTGTTATATCTTAGGCCAAATGACTCACTCCTGATTTAAACTGAAGTTGAGTTTCTTGTTTTCCTGTTTCTTTATGCATTGGTTTACTTAACATTTCTTATTGACTACTATGGGCCCGAAAGATACAAAGCAGATACGAAGGTGTTCAAGATACAAAGGAAAACCCTTGCCCTCAAGAAGCTCATTTGGATAACTGGATAGTAGTGTATATGTCATTGTAGAAATAAAATTATGTTGCCTTTGAAAAGCAAAATTCAATATATGAATATGTCTTTGGGCTAGAATCTCTTGAATCAATAGGCAAATATAAATAGAACTATTATTATTAATACTATTACTGTCCTATAATATGAATACTGTGTGAGAAAAAGATAAGGCCCTGTTTACACACCTAGAATAAATGTTAAATAGTAATGAAGTTATTCTACTAGTAAATAAATGGTTAGGAAGGCAAAGTGATTGTTACAGGACTCTAAATACCAGTAATTCTCTACAAAAGCAACACACTTAAAGCACTTTATTCACATATTATTACATTGTAACACTAGAGTTTGCAAATGTCACCTTGAGGCTGAGGCCAGATCCAGGTTTGTGGGGCCTGAAGCTTATAAATGTGGAAGGGCCCCTTAAAAAATGAAATAAAATAAGACCATAAAATTAGGCATAGCTTATGCAAATGACGAACGCTGAAGCTTAAGCTTCATTTGCTTCAAAGAAAAGCTAACTGATAGGCACATAAAAGATTAATATCCTCTCTACTCATTAGTCATATTAGGGAAAGACTTGGGCATTAGGGAAAATAGTATTCATTAAGCTGCTATGAAAAAGTTTATAATAAATACAATACGTGTAAAATGACTCTTTAAATTGATCTTACTTAGCTACACCCTTATTCTTTCTTTAGTCTATTAGTCTTTATTCTATCATTTGGCTTTCTTCAAAATTGAAAAAGTGCCTCAGGTATTCATTGAATATAGGTCCTAAATACTTTCTTGTTTCAAGCTTCAGGCTGTAGACCTGTGCTGTCCAATACCTTAGTCACCGGCCACATGTGGTATTGGGCACCTGAAATGTGGCTGGTGCAACCTAGGACCTACATTTCAAATTATATTTAATTTTAATTACTTTAAATTTAAAAACTGATAATTCCACTATTCTGAAATTTTGAAGTATGTGTGGAGCAACTTGAGTATGTTAAGCTACTTTTTCAACTGTAAATGTTATGAAATAGAAATGCAGATTAAATATTTCCTGGGAAAATTTAGCAGTCAAACTGAGATGTACTGTTATAAGTGCAGAATTCGCACTAGATATCTTATTAATAATTTTTATATTGATTACCTGCTGAAACGATAATATTTTAATATATTGATAAAATAATACATATTTTAAAAGTTTATTTCACCCAGTTCTTTTTACTTTTTGAAAATGTGACTACTTGAAAATTTTCAATTGCATACTATGGCTAATATTATATTTCTATTAGAGAGTGCTACGTTAGACTCTGACTTTTTCTCAAAAGGAGTATATAATTTTTGAAACCACATACTTAAAAGACAAACTTAGGAGGATCAGGGTAGATGGAAAGCAATTACCAAACGTTACTAATGGGATATTTTTTTACCTTACTTGAGGTGGTGGAATTCCTACCACTATGCAATCCAACTGTACTCTGGTTCCTTCTGGAACTTCTCTGCTCCGTAACTTTTGAGTGAACCGAGGAGGTTGCCCCAGAGGTTCTTCATAGTACAAAGATGAAGGTGAAGACCCAGGGGTGGTGTCTCCACCCGCTGCCTCACTGGCAGCCTGCTCAGCTTCCCGCCTCTTAGCTTCCTGCCTTTCAAGGGCGTGATTCACTTCATTATCCCTAGTATCTGCAGGGATAGGAATGGGAACAGAAGATCTTTCTCTTCTTTCTGAGATATCTGACAAACTGGAGCTATTTTCCTGCATAAGTTTGTTTTGAGATTCTAATTTACTCTTGTGGTTTTTGCAGGCACGAGGTCTAATCCTTTTGGAGCTATGGGCTTTGAAAAGGGAGGACAGCTCTTCAATGAAATCGGCAGCCTTATTTAAGAATACTTTTTTGGACTGGGTTTCAGAACTATACTGTGGCCTTTTTGCCTCCTGCGGGCTCTCTGTAGAGCTGGTAGGACCTCGAGAGTTATCCTGACAGAAGTTGGGGTCAAAACTTGATTTAGGTGAGTGTTTCATTTGATCAGATGAAAGACATTTTCTAGCTTGAGCTTCATCTGCTTTCTCCAAAGGGTCGTGATTGATGGCCAATCTTGCCAGATTGACACTTTCATCTAATTCTTCTTGGCTCAGGAAGGCTGAGAGATCTGGAAGGTCGTCTTGACCTCCTCCTCCTTCAGCAGCTCCAGAAGGATTGCCAAAATGGAAAGGGTTGGAGGAAGGTTCTGCTCGACTCCTCTCATTGTTTCCCCGATGTCTAGTTTCCGCTAAATAGCTCTCTCTTAGAAGTTGAGATATGGAAGTAGAAGCTTCTATGCTGTCGTCTTGCATGCTGTCACAAAATAATAATAACAAAAAGTTGGGTCATTTCTAAAGAATAACAGATCTATAAGCATGATGGATTTTTAAGAACTTAAAGTTTGAAATTAAAAAATTGCCTAATTTTGATACTTCTACAAAATTTACATTAAAGACTTAAAGATTAACCTTAAATTGTAAAATGAAGAGGAACTGAATGAGATTGCCCTGAAATATAAAATAAAAACATGGGTGATAACCACTCTATTAAGTTCTTCAATACAAGTTCAATTGTGAAAGCTATGATGTAACTATAGTGATATTAAATCCAATTTCTTTTTTTTTTAAAGCAAAGTTTTTTTTTTTTAAGATTTTTTATTTATTCATTTGTGAGAGAGACAGAGAGAGATAACAAGCAGAGGGAGAGGGAGAAGCAGACTCCCTGCTGAGCAAGGAGCCCGATGTGGGACTCGATCCCAGGACCCTGGGATCATGACCTGAGCCGAAGGCAGACGCTTAACCATCTGAGCCACCCAGGCGCCCTTAAATCCAATTTCTAAGCATAATTTTGGTAATATCTATAAAGGGCTTTTAGTTATAAAGACCTTTCATACACAGAGATTTGTTGTCCATACTCACCCCTTTACCTTGAATGCAATAAAATATAGAAATTAAAAGATACTGACAACAGCAGTTTTTCATTTCATTCATAAAAAGCCCTACGTAAACTGATAGTATCGCTTATGGTTTCAAGACTTTTTCATTCAGCTTCACCCACACCGGTTTCTTATTATTTCTGAAATATTCTAAAATCACATCTGAAATGCCTCAGAACATTTGCACGTGCTGTGGCCTGTACCTGGAATGCTCTTTCTGACAATGCTATGTGACTCACTTCTCACTTCCTTCGATTATCCGTCCATCTATTGTCTCTTCGGTGGTTCCTTCTTTATGGCCCAACATAAGACGGCAATCCCCTTCTAGCCTATCCTTTTTACTCAGTTTGGTTTTCTCAGGACCACTTATCTCCATGAGAAATATCTGGCATGCACATTTTTAGCAGCTTGTCATTTTCCTCCCACTAAAATATGACTTCTACCAATGCAAGGACTTAGATCCCAATAAATAATTGTTAAACTAATGAATAAATTCTTCTTTGAATTGGAAAAAAAGATACAACATAATCTCATTTAGTTACTGAAAACATCAATTTGATCCAATTCATGAAAATAAATAATGCTTTTGGTTTTCTACTAGAGACAAGTTGTTTAAATTCAATGTTGTTTACAGGTTCAATCTGCTCTTGAAAAGTGTAATGATTTAGCCCTTTCAAATAAAGATATAATTAATTTAATTTCTACGAAGATATGAGTTAGAGCCCAGATTTTTAAAAATCTCTTGTATTAACATTGGTGAAGAGGAGATGTCGGAGACAGGGAAATGAGGTTCAAGACAGGACACCCCTAAACTGTATTTCACTGTATACCCTTTCCTGACTTTTGAGTGTCAATTATATGAGGATATTACTGATTCAAAAAACAAATAATTTTTAAAATATTAAGAAAACTTTAGTTCAAAGCCCCCCTGAAGTAGAGAGTTTGGTAATACAAAGCAACTTTATATTATTAACATTTTATCATTTATTTAGTCACACATTTACTAGAGGGATGGCAAACTCGTGACCTGTAGGCTGTTACTTCTCTCTTTCCTTAAAAGATACAGCTAACAGAGTACAGTGCTCTTCCCATAGGATCTTGACTTTCTCAACACTCTACTCCTTCAGTCACCACCAATCAATCAGAGATGGTAATAGAGATGAACACCATTTGCCATTCTTGGCTACTAGGTGCTAGGCCTTGTAGGAAGATGGAGAAGAAAGTAATCTAAATCTTTTTAGGCTTTACAATTCTTTTTCTTTTTTTAAAATTTTATTTATTTGCCAGGGAGAGAGAACGAGAGAGTACAAGCCAGGGGAGGGGGGGCGGCAGGCAGAGGGAGAAGCAGGCTCCTTGCTGAGCAGGGAACCTGATGCGGGGCTCGATCCCAAGACCCTGGGACCATGACCTGAGCCAAAGGCAGACGCTTAACCAACTGAGCCACCCAGGTATCTCTAGGCTTTATGATTCTATGACAAAACTTGTTTCAGTTCATTCCTTTCCTTTCCCTTATATGACAGCCTTACTTACATCACAAAGAAGGCTTCCTAGGAACTGCTCTAACTCTAGAGCTTTTAGAGTGCTCTCCAAAACTAACATCTAAATTGGCAAAGTAAGCAGTCACCTTGAGAGGGCAATTAGAGACAGAACGGATCACCTATAGCCAAATATATTTCCACATGCTTGTTACAGCCTGAAATTGCCACTACTGGAGTCATTTGTTTGGGTAAAGTCTATTGTGCCTTAAAGATGAATTGAGGGTGCCTGGGTGGCTCAGTTGGTTAAGCCACTGCCTTCGGCTCAGGTCATGATCCTGGAGTCCAGGAATCGAGTCCCGCATCAGGCTCCCTGCTCGGCGAGGGGCCTGCTTCTCCCTCTAACCCTCCCCGCTCTCATGTACTCTCTCTCTCTCTCTCTCTCATTCTCACTCTCTCAAAATAAATAAATAAATCTTAAAAAAAAAGATGAATTGAAAATGCACAGAGGTTGGATGAGTGCAAAGATTTATTTACAAAGATATTCATCACAGTATAGATGATAGTATTAAAAAATTGGAACCATGTTCAATAAGAAGTTAGTTAATTGAATAATAATATACTCATTAAATAGAGCTATCCAGCTATTTTAAATTTGGTAGGACCGTGGATGATATACAAAATAGTATATGAAAATATAATTGATATATCAATTGAAAATTTGTCTCATGTGTGCATTAACTATACAGAAGAAGAGTTAAAGATATGTACAATAAGGTGCAAAATGCTATTTTAAAATGTAATTAATATACTGATGAAAAATCCTTCTCATTTATAAATCAACTATTTCATTACTCTCATTTGAATTTCTGCATATACAATTGACCCTTGCACAATGCGAGGGTTAGGAGTACCAAGCCTTGCACAGTCAAAAACCCATGTATAACTTTTGATTCTTCCCAAACAAAACTACTAATAGCTTACTATTGATCAGAATCCTTGCCAATAGCATAAACAATTAAAACATATTTTATATGTTATATGTATTATATGCCACATTCTCACAATAAAGCAAGCTAGAAAAAAGAAAATGTTTTAGGAAAATCTTAAGGAAGAGAAAATGCATTTACAGCACTGTACTGTATTTTTAAAAAAATCTAAAATAATCCATGTATAAGTGGACCCACATGCAGTTCAAACCCATGTTGTTCAAGGGCCAACTGCATTTAAATGTAAGGGGGAAAATTAAGTAATTTATAAATCAGAATGGTCTTCTGTTAGTTAAACATTACTGTAGATTGTGTTTTAATGCAACTTCGTCTCTTAACTCTGTGTTCTAAGATGGCTTTTATCTTGAGCCAACATGGAATGAGCATAATTGGCCTTGGGATCAGATTGGTTTTCAAATTCTGGTTTCATGAACTCTCAGCAGTTGTGTGACTTTGAGGAAATGACTTACTTCTCTGAGCTTTGGATTCCTCATCTGTAAAACATGGATAATACCTAATCTCTAGGAGAGTGAGGATTAATAACATCATGAATGCAAAGCCCTTAAAACAGGGTCAGCCCCTGTAATGGACACTCAAATGATGTTAGTAAAAAACAATATTTAGGTGGCTCAGTCGGTTAAGTGTCTGCCTTTGGCTCGGGTCTTGATCTCCAGGTTCTGGGATCGAGCCCCACATTGGGCTCCCTGCTCAGTGGAGAGTCTGCTTCTCTCTCTCTCTCTCTTAAATAAATAAAGTCTTTAAAAAAAAAAACAACAATATTTAGGTAAAGGTGATGTTAATGTTGAAAAACTTTTAAGAACTTTATATTTATGGTGGAAATAGGTAAGAAAATACTCATAAAAAGTAATCACTACTCTCTGTAACCATTTTTTTTAAAGATTTTATTTATTTATTCATGAGAGACAGAGAGATAGAGGCAGAGGGAGAAGCAGGCTTCCCGCTGAGCAGGGAGCCCGATGGGGGACTCGATCCCAGGACCCTGGGATCATGATCTGAGCCAAAGGCAGCCGCTTAACCATCTGAGCCACCCAGGCGCCCCCACTTTTTTTTCTTTTTTAAGAAAAGAAGCCAATTGAGGTGCAAATGTGTGCCTGTCTGATGCTTATGGTTATAAGAAATTATTATGATAACAAAATTTTCGAGTATTCAAAATAAAGAATTGCTTTAATGTTTTAGTTTAATTAATGTTTAATTCATTTATTTAATGTTCTTTAATGTAGTGTTTATTACCTAAAACTTTGGAGTTAGATAGATGTGGTTCAGATCCCAGTTCTGACACTTTCTGGCTGTATAAACTCAACAAAGTCACTTTTAACCTCTACAAGGCTCAGCTTACACGTCTACAAAACAGGAATAATAACACCAGCCATCTCATCAATTGAAGTGATGATTAAATGGGCTTGGCATTTAGTAAATGTTCAGTAAATGGTAGTTGCTGCTATTATTATTATTATTAATGTTATATAACAACTCTAGTGACATACCAAGTGGTTGGTCCTAGGACAAAGTTTGAAGAGCAGCTGAGCTGCAGATTTGCAGTTAATTCAGCACCATTTATACAATGTTGAAATACATGTAGTCTCATGAATGAACTGGGTTGCCTGAAGATCTTTGTATATATTTTCTTTGTTAGGTGGCTGCCTGTCCCCACCTCCCTTCACTACCTTACTGGGCCAAGTTCTACATGGTCTTCAGTTCTTAGCTGAGACATCGCTGTGGGATTTCTTCTTTGTTTTGGGTTGGGTACCTCTGCAATATGCTCACAAAGTGCGCTCTGTCCTTACCTCCAAACACAGCAATTATCACAACATAGTAAATTTGCCTATTTACTCTTCAGTCTACCTCACTTTGTGTTTGTACAGCATCATCTGTGTGCACACACAGCACATAGA